CTGTGGGGGTCCCCCCCCCCGCCCCCTGTTTCCCTGCCACTCTTCTTGGCCCCAATGCACAGAAAGCTGCTGGCCTGTTTCTATACCTTTTTTTTTTATGCAGCGCACAACAATTACACAGCCTAAAGGATAAACCACACAGGCTGCCCAAAGCGAATGGCAAAAATAGATGAGATCTGGATCTGCGCTCCACCAGCAGAGATCTACAAACTATTGCTCTGTTGACATCTCCAGCTTTTATCAGGCTCCTGTTTGCCTCCAGCCTCCACAGCCCAAAACCAATTCAGACTTGTGCAAGGAACCAAAGCTGTTAGTAGAAGAAAAAGGGAAAATAACCTCCCAAAGACCTGTTTTTGCTACTCTTGCCAAAACAAGCAATCCCAATGGGGACCTGTCCACCACTTGCTTCACTCAGGAGCTGCTGAGTACAAAATGCAGGCAGTCACAGCATCCGAAGGGAGAACATCCCCTCCTGACTTACTGAATGTAGCGGTTGAGCTCCTGCTTGCTGCAGCGGGACCAGTGGTAGCGGTGGAAGGCGGCCTGGACCAGCGGTGCCATGATGCTCCCCATGCTGGTCTCGTCGGCACAGCGGTTGCCCTGGCCATCGTGCTCCATGCCTAACCTGGTGGAAAAAGCCGGTGTAAAGTCAGGTTCCCGGGGGATTTACACCAGCCCATTCATGCCACGGTGGTACGCATGCCTGCGCCAGCAGAAAGTCCCTTTTGCAAAGAAAGGGGCACCACCATGCTTGTCCCCCCACCGAAGGGGACGGCCAGCTGTGTCCCTGTGACTTACACATGGCCGGTCTCATGGGCGACGACAAATGCAGAGGAGAAGCCATCTTCGTGGTTGAGGGTGCAGCTGCGGAGTGGGTGGCACATGCCCGTCACCGGCGCATAGCCTGGGGCAACAGAGAAGGGAAGGAGAGAGGAAGAGAGGAGAGAGAAAACCTTTGAGAGAGGGGGGAAAAAATGAAAAATTAAAAAAAAAAAACAAAACAACCCACAGCCTGGCTTCACTGCAACAGGAGGAGAAAACTAAGAGGAAGGTGCTGAAGCGGAGGAGCTGCCCAGATCACTTGGACAGCAGCCCAACGACTTGCTCACCAATACAACCATCCCGGCTGCCAGTGCCAAAAGCAGGCTGAGGTTATGCTGAGGCTTGCCGGCATCTCTCTGCCCTCGTGCCAACTCACCTGGGCCGGCGAGAGGGCAGCCAAGGGACCCATGGGTGCTTTATCGCTGTCAGTGACCACCGCCTCCCAGCCCAGAAATGGCATCCCCCGCATTCTTCTTTATTAAAAAAAATAAAGAAGAAAGGAAGAGAGAGACTAAAAGGCATGAGGTGTCCCCAAGAGCCCTGCCAAAAATACAGCCTTGTTCACCGCAGGCTACAGGGGACCCCTGCCATGCACCCGCGCCTGCCCCCACCCCAGCCCCAGGCACAGGTGCGCCCCCCCCGCCGCCAGACAGAGCCAGGGAGGACCATGCACCTCCCCAGCCCCCAGCCCTCGATCAAGTGCAGTGCAGTGGGGCAGTTGTGGGCAGGGAAGCCTTCCCCCCACCCATTCAGCAATGCATCATCTCGATTTTGGTTTATTTTCCTTTTTTTCTTACATTATTTCTGCCCAATTCAATGAATTCCTTGGCACCTTCTAGAATTTGCTTTCCAAACTTTTTTAATTTTTTTTTTTTTTTTTAAAAGACTGACCCTTTTTGGCATCAAGGGAAAGCAAGTTAGTGAAGGAAGGACTTACAGGTCCAAGAGGCAAAAGCAGGGCAGGACCATGCTGGATAACTCTGCCCTGGGGATAGGGATGCTCGAAGAAGAAAGGTCAGTGAGCCAAGAGGGAGGCTGAGCTGCAGCAGGAGAGGGGTGCTGATGAGCTGAGGGTAGACGCACCCCCCCCCGCCTGCCCTGCTGCACACACCCCAGCCAAAATACAGGGTCCACCGAGCCCATGTGCCACCATCCTTGTAGGACACTTGCTCCACACCAAGCCAGTGACTCATGATTAACTGCCCTGGAAGAGGGTGGAGAGGAAAGACGCGATTGCACTGAGCTTAATTCCCACGCTGAACGAGTGGGTGGGTCCCAGCACCACGCAGCTGGCCAAAGACAAGAGATTAAAGCAAAAAATAAAAGGGTTCCTACAGCTCTGCCCTAAAGTCAACAGGAATTGCCTTTGTGGCCACACTGAGAGGATCAGCTGCCTGATAGGACAAGGGACAGGTTGCTGCTGCACCGCTGGACACCCAGAAGTTACCATCACCCCGGGCATAAGGCAAAACCAAGGGGGTTTGGGGTGAGCATTTCCCTCGATATTTCTATTTATCGGCTAAGCAGAGATTTTCCAGGGTGTCCACCTGCACTGGAACTTCTAAAGGAAACTTCTCTCACCATAATAATTTAATTTTTCAAAACAAGCCCAGACACGAACCTTTGAAGGGCTCACTCACGTGGTATTTTGTGGGAAGCGATGGATGCATTTTTTTCCTCTGCTCCAAGTGAAGGAGAAGTCGGGTGAATCCAAGTTGCTGAGCAAAAAGCCCAAGATTAAATAAACACCCAATTCTCATTACATGCAGAGAAAGTTCACTTCTGCCTGCAAAGCACCATGTAACCTCAGAGAAACCCCCACAACCTCAAGGATCTCTTCAAAGCAGCCTGCTTCAATAAATACACTCAGTGTTCCGTTTAATGGGGGAAGTGTTTCTTTTTCATCTTCCCCACATTCAAGTGGGCAACAAGACTTACTCCAGCGAACAAATAAACTAAAACACCTCAAGAAAGAGAGCAGAGAAATGACATGCTCAATGAGCACTGCAGTCAGAAGGAAAGCAAAAGGTAACAGGTCAAACTAAGAGCTTGAGAGAGAATCAGATAATTGGGTTTAACCATACAGTAATGAGTCAAATCCTGGAAAAATCATTTTAAAAGGTTTTTTTTTCCCCCCCATGAAACCTTCCACAAGAAAGAGTAAAGATGTGGAAAGTTTTTTGTACAAGGAGAGAGCAAATATATTTTGTCTAGGATGAAAATGGGACAAATTCCCATTTCCCACAACCAAAGAGGCTCTGGATGTCTGGATGGGAGATGGGACAAAGGAATATGAAAAGGTGGATGCTCAGGAAGGCAGACACTGACCTCTCACAATTAAGACCCCAGTGAGAACTGGAAGAAGCATAAAGGGTTCTCCATGGGAGAACAATGGCAAGAAGTAACTACCTGGAAAATACTTAATTGGTAAAGACTAGATTAGCCTGCAAATGCTTACCAGACACACACATAGGAAAAGCAGCATGTCCTCACAGTACCAGCAAGACACCAGCCAGTCTCTTGCTTCCTCCAAATGCACTTTATTCTTCTTTATGGACATTTCCTACCTGGTTTCAGCCTCTCCGACCTTCTACATGGACCACCAGCCTGCCCAAAGGCCAACTGTGGGTGATTACAGGGCAACAAATTAAATCTAAGCAAAAGCATCCCTCAGCCTGGGCCAGAAAGCTCTCCGTGCCCGCCCACTGCAGAGGGACATGGCACTCTCTTCTGGTTTAGACGGGGCTTCAGTAGCAGCAATTAATAATTTACAACCCATCTGTCCACCCCCAAGAGGCATTTCTCTTTGAAGGGCAAGGGTTTATTTTAAACTCACGTACGAGGGCAGTGCAGCTCAGCTGTCCCTCCTGGCCCTTTCCCTTCACACCTTCCAGCTTCCCTTGATTCCCAAAGCAACAATTGCATCAGCTTTCCAAAATTTCTCCGTGTTGGCCATGACTGCTCCCATCCCCATCAAGAGATGCCACGAGCAGGGCTGTTGCCAGCACCAAGAAGTTTTTGTAAACCTCCTTAAGGCTCAGCTTGGACCTGCAGCAGAGAAGAGCTACGCTGCAAGACCTCAATGCTTTGCAAGGACTTGCATCCAGCTTAACCAGCGCCGCAACAGACCAGACACTGGTCTGGTTTACTGGCCAAGGGGAGGTGATACGACACAGGGACAGGTATGAGCTGTGTCTGGTGGGGATGTGGTGATGGAGCACGGTTGGCTCGCTGGCATGGAAATAGCCTGGGCTAAGAAGACACGCAGGTTAACGAGTCAGATTCAGCCCCGCCTCTGTTGCTTATTGGGCACACAACTGTAAGGAGTGACGAGGCATCAAGCTAAGCACAGGCTTGACAGTTAGGCTCCATTCCCAGGTCCCTGTGACTTGGAGGACTTCATCCTCAAAGCCTGCCTTTCTCCTGGCTTGTTGATTTAGGCTGTAGGGTCTTTGGAGTAGGACCACCTCTGCCTTCAGCTCAGTTTCAGGGTACATATGAGCAGGGCAGATGCTTCCCAACTGGCACATACACCCTACAGCAGTGGCTAAAGAAGCCAGCAGGTATTTGCCATCACCTTAGCAAGCCGCTTAGGTACCACCAGTGAACATATGCCATGAGCAAGTATTGGAGGTGCCGCGGTCTGGTCCTTCATTGCATATAGCCCTGAGCTGAAAAGGGATGATATGGAGCTAAAAGGACATCGTTTTGAGAAAAAGAGGCAAGAGTAAGCAAAGTGTTACTATTCCAGCAGCCCAACAAGAGGGCAGTTCCTGATGGGTGAGGAGCACCCACAACTTGTGCCATGCAACACAGCCAGGCAAGGACACAGCAGCCATGGGAACTTCTGCAGAAAGCAAATGTCCGTCCCGGAGACATATGAAAAACAGGGAGCCAGATCCGCAGGGAAAAGGGGAAGGAGCTGGAATGAGCATCCCTAGAGCAGGGCTACTGAATCGATCTCATGACTCCTTCACACCAAGGGGGAGTCCGGCCAGTCTCCCCCTTCTGCCGACATGCCAAAAAAGGTCCTCTCACCAATGCCTTTGGACACAGTCACTTTGCCAGGAAGGGTCTAGAAAAATGAAACAAAACCTGGTATTTCACCCACACTGCCGCATGACTCTGGAGGAGGTGCCCAAGGCAGGTCAATGGCTCAGCAGGGAGGCTGTTGGCACAACCCAAGCTCTGCTCTTTGATGGCCAACAGCATGTTCAAGAGGGCTTCCAGCTGGATGTCTCCCTGCTGCAGGGAGAACCTTTTCAGGGAGGTAATCGAGACGAGGACAGGACTTTCTCCATCTCTCTTTCCTCCCATGCACACCAGAAGGACTTGTGCTACAAATCAGTGTGACATTACCAGCACGTTCATGGCGTCAAAGGGAGCCTCCTGATGGGAAATTCAGACCTTGCCACCAGTGTGGGAAGGGGGAGGTGGCAATTTGGAGGCAGTGGGCTCAGGAGAACTGGGAGAAGTCACTTCTCATGATGCCACCAAAGCATCTGCTTTTCTAATGGAGCTGTGAAATGCCAGAAGCTTTTCCTGCTAATTTTTTTAATTTTTTGCCTAGGTCTCTAACTTCTCAGACCATGTCAGCACAGCCTCTGCACCAAGAGCTGCACCAAGACTATTACCATCGCTCCTTCCGACCTCCTCTTTGACCCAGGGTTTACTCAACGCTCCCATGTCCAGTCCTAAGAGGGCCAAGAAACCAACCCATGTAAAACCAGGTTTTAAAGGTCCTCCAGGGGACAGAAAGGACTGACTGGCCCCATGAAACTCCCTGTGGTATTCCATCTTTTTTATGTTATTTTTAAACTGTTTAGGGCACTTTGGGACAAGAGGAGGATTGGTGCATGAAACCAAAGTAAGGGCAGAATGAATAAAGATGATCTTTCTATCCGTTCAGGTTGATGCTCTGGATTAATTCTGTCTTTTTTCTACTTCACATTAAAAAAATACCAATTTTTATAACCTTTTTCTGGACCTTACTGGCCAAGAAACAGACTGTGTTTGCAAGAAATCCTCTCCCCTCGCTGGCTTTCCCCCAGCAAACTGCACATACCTGATCGAGATAAATACAGTACCTTGCATACCTGCGGGACCAAAATCTTGCCTGGTGAGGAATACAGCATGGTCATGGTACTCGGCGTGCTCCGGGTCAGAGCGCTGCTGTGAGTGAGCCCAGCGGCAAACCTGCTCCAAGCTCCGAGACGGGTTCCCTCGCTCTATCAGGCTGACTGACTGGGTAAAGAATTAAAAATAAATAAATAGATGGGTAAGTTAGTAGGGGACAAGGAGCCTGCCAAGAGTTTTGGGGTCAGAAAGACTCCTAAGCAGTGCTTCTCCATCATTAGAAGCAACAACATCCTGCTTTGCATCTGCAAAGCATTTGTGCCTTTTTTTATTTAAAAACAGCAAGGAAATAATTCCCACAAACAGATGTGGTCTGGTACAGGAGGGTATATGACCCTCTTCGATCACACAAGTGGTCGGGGCAGCAGTAGGTAAAAGAGGAGAGCAGCTGGGAAACAAAGAGGATTTGGATTCCCAGCTCCTGCATGGGCTCCTCATTGAGACGTCGCAAGATGCTGATGCTCAGCAATGAGCAGAGCAATGCTCCCCTGTAAAACTTGACCCACAGAGACTGAAACCCCAATAGGAAATACGTAGAGGTGTCCAGGACTGTTTTATAGCAGTCACTTTGTCCTTCATCTTTTTTTTTTGTTCAAGATTAGCATTTTGCAAAATTATGCTCTATAAAATAAATGATGCACTATAAAATAAATGATGCTTTCATGCAGGTACCTGCTGAGCTGCAATGGTGGGAAGAAAGGTAAGAAATATTGTCCTTCCACTGGCCCTTAAGTGGAAGCCGTGGAGGTTTTATCCTACAAAGTGCAAGGTGGGAGACAAGAAGCCGCAGGAGGACTCACTCAGGAAGCATCAGACCTAAACAGTGGTGAGCTGAGATCTCGCCCGGATTCAAACATCTGCTCATCCCTGGGTCTCTAGGAGGCACTGGGTTTCTGCCAGCCAGGCAGATTTCTGTAACAAGCAGGGTTTTTTTTCCAAGATCTAGCAGGGCTTATTTGTGGACCACACACACAGACATCACTATGTTGAGTCATTAATACCCTTGCTAGAATGCTTCATGTAGGATAGGGGCTTGCCGCAAAAAGTATAGCAAATCACATTGTTTTAAAGAAAATCTTTTGGCTGCTGCACTCAAATGAGCCTTAAAAAAATAAATGCAACCTGAGAAGCATGAAACCTTCCCATGCTTTTTCTGTCTGTGCCCAGGCCACCCGAGAGCTGCGGGACAGCCAGAGAAGCCTTCCAGGGCTGCTGAGTCAAGGCTGGGATACAGGAGATCCTGGCCTCGGCTTCTCCTCACTAATATCCAGCTGCTACCAATTTGGGAACCCACCTTTGTCCCATCATCTACTGCTGCTCTAGAGCTTCTGAGGAAGCCTCTCGTGGTTTTTCCCACACCCCTGAGCAAGCAGATAAAGGCTGACTGCAGTCATCTGCCGTCTCCCCAAGGACCTCTTTTTGCCCTGGGGCTGGACTGCTACGGGGCTCTCCAGACACCAGCCAGATGATGGTTTAAATTCATCCCTGCTCAGCACAGTTGTCATTTGGGCTTCGATGGCTGACCTGAACGGCCACATTTTTCCAAGCCGGGGCTTACCTGAGTGTGAAATATTATGGTGATGAGACACTAAGCCATGGTGTCGCTGCACACTTGCCAGCCTTGGGAGAAGCCGCAGCTGCCTGCTGCGCCTATATTGCATTTCAGAGACCCTCCTTCCCTCACGGGGCAGGGCTCGAGCCGGGAAAGCGGCCAAAAAGCAGGGGCCAGCCTGAATAGCATCTCCTCCTCTCCACATCTGAGTGCTGTATTTACCTGGCGGTATCCCACCATGATCATCCTGACCAGCACGATATTGATGTGAACGCCCAGGGACTCGTCGTGATAAATTTCATCCACCTGAAGAAGGGAGGGAAATAGAACAGAGAAGTTAAGATCATCCCAGCTCTCAAGCCCTTCCTGTCCTCCACGCTCCTGTGTTCAGCATCCTACTCCGCTTTCCAAGACCGCACAAGACCAGGTGCAAAGATCTCATCTCCCTCCTCCCACCCCCAGCTTTTTTTTTTTTTTTTTTCCCCGTGTTAAAAACCTTAAATGTAAAAAACCCAAGCTGGAATAAGCCAATTTTCCCCAGGATGGGTGGCTCAGATGGTCAATGACATCACCCATCCCATCAAGAGAGCGGAGGAGGGCTGTGTTTCCCATGGAGGCTGCCTCCACCGCCGAGCATCTCGCAATGAGCTATTGCCCCCTTTGGCGTATGAATTCCTCATATGGAAAGACCCTCCCACCCCCAGCTTTTTTTTTTTTATTTTTCCCCTGTGTAAAAACCATGAAGTCAAAAAGCCAAGCTGGAATAAGCCAGATTTCCCCAGGATGGGTGGCTCAGATGGTCAATGACATCACCCATCCCATCAAGAGAGCGGAGGAGGGCTGTGTTTCCCATGGAGGCTGCCTCCACCGCCGAGCATCTCGCAATGAGCTATTGCCCCCTTTGGCGTATGAATTCCTCATATGGAAAGAAACGCTTCGGACTCCAGCATCCTTGCATTTGGTGGAAAGAAAAAATGGCTTTTTGGGGAGAGGCGAGCGATCATATCAAAGCAAGGGCATTACTCAGTTATACTGGTGAGTCAAAGTTGACCTACCACTTCAGAAACCCCAGGAGAAGACAATACAATGAAAAAAGAGGGAGGACTTGTGAGTCAATAAGATATCTATCAACGTCAGCTATTAAAAATGACTTTGCAAAGGAAGTAATGAGCTATAATCTTTTCCTTCTGCGTTTCTAGGATGAATAAACAAATTTTACTCCTAAGTGCTACCAAGAGAAGAAGACATCCAGACGAGAAAGGTCCCTGTGAGCCAAGCGTGGTGACAGCTGGCCACCGAGAGAGGCACTGAGCGAGCAGCCATAAACCCACACAAGTGCAGGAGATCCTGCACCAGCCTTCACCCACCTGCACAGCACGTGTGAAAATACAGCTCAGACAAAAAAAATACTGATTTTTAGAGAAAGGGACTTTCTTATTCCCCAAATGTCTCCAAAATGAACACTGCCACAAATGGGGGTTCAGTGCAGAAGTTGAAGAAGTCAAATTAAAACCATTTTTAATATTGACTAGAATTAATGTTTAAATTAAAATATACTTGTTCAATTTTGTCCAAGAGAGAAATGATTTACCCTGGTTCTAACATCACTTTCCAGACTAGATGAATATTATAAAGCCAGATTTATGGAGCTTTTCTCTTTTTCCCCCCATTCCTTTTTTTTTATAGGCTTAGATTTGAACTCGAGGGTTGGGTGACAACTGCCCCTTCATTGCTGCCCGCATCCAAGTCTGCCATTTTCCAGGCTGCACGAGTTCTTTACAAGCCCCCTGATTTATAGACTGTGCTTCTGTTTGAAATACCCACTCAGGCCATTTTTAAACCCAAAGACCCAGCATTAATGTTTCACCATGACAACTAATACTCCTGTGGAGCATCTCCAAGCTTTGCAGAGAGGTGATGCAGGTCCTGAGCCTGCCATGTCTGGAATGCAGCAAAATTGATTAAAAAAAAAAAAAAAAATCAATAAAAAAATTGCCAGTCCATCCCCATTAATGCATCCCTTTGGATGCACAGGCTGTAAGTCCCGCGGGGAGGTGAGTGGAGTTCCTACCCTCCAATGGCTGAAAGGCAGCAAAATTTGTTAAAAAAAAAAAAAAAAATCAATAAAAAAATTGCCAGTCCATCCCCATTAATGCATCCCTTTGGATGCACAGGCTGTAAGTCCCGCGGGGTCATTGCTTCAGCAGTGTGGAAAGACAATGCCGCACAACCCATCCTCAGCTCACCCCTGCTTATCATGGTTGGGATGCTCCTTCACACTGCACCAGCACCTTTTAAAGGCATTTTGTAAGAATAATGAGAATATGATGGACTTCTTCCAATGCTAACTCTTTTTTTTGGGATATGCGCAGATGGGAGGGAGGTCATGTAGCACTGCAGCTGGGCTCCCGCTTGCAAGCATTACTCATACCTACAGTCCCACTAAAGCACGAAGCATCCATCCCAGCAAGGAGCTGCAACACCCCAGGGGGGTCACACTCAGCCCCACATTTTGGGACGTAGGAGGCTTTGGCATCCCAGAGAAAACGTTAGTGGATCTGAGAAGTCCCACATCAGGAGTATGACCCTTTACAGAAATATTCCAGCCTTAATGCGTGTCATGTGACAGGTAATATAAAAGGGCAAGAAATGGGGGGAGAGAGGGAGAAATGAAAAATATGCTATGGCCCTGAAAAGCCAGAGTGCTGGACCTGGGGGACGGTTCAGGGGAACAAGGGGGAAAACATGTCCATTTCCTTCACTTTCCAAAATCTTTACGCATTTTCCTTCACCACCAGCACTTGTCGGGAGCTGGAGCACCATTAAGCCTCCGCTTCAGTCAGCACCTCAGCATCATCCACCGGCACTCTGCTGCTTTTTCCCCGCTCCCAAGGGCCCCTCGATCCATTTGGATGAACTACGTTCCTGCCTTAGCGACCTCTCCGCCAGCCGGAGCTCCTGGCCAAGCCACTGCCTGACCTGGCCGTGACTCGGAGCATGCAAGGGGGCAGCGCAGACCTCTCCCTTCGCGGCTGCACAGGATATTTTGGCAGGATGCTCAGCAGACCCCACAGGCAGCAGGAAAGGATGCTCTGTGACAGCCTGCCCTGTGGCAGCCCCAGCCAGCAGGAGAAGAGGAGGGTCGCATCACCAGGAGGAAGGACCACGAGCAGAGGAGCTGTCAGGGCAAGAGCTTCGCTCTGTGCCGGCTGACCTACCACACAGCCCTCCTCTCAGCAATGTCTCTTCCTACCAGTGGTGCCTGCAAATAGTCCCCAGGTCTGAGACGAGCTCCATACCCCAAACCGTGCACCCCCACACAACATTAGTTACCCTGGGAGAAAGAAAATATCCTAAATTTGGGAACAGCAATACTTTTCACAGGCTTTGACAACTAAACTCATCAACACCCTCCCAGCACTGCACATCCTTCCTCAGCCTTGCTAAAGAAGCGGCGATGGACAGCAGCAGGACCACGAGCAGCTTAGAAACAGCTCATTAAGGGATTAAGACACAAGAAGCTGTATTACTCCAAGATGGGATTCGATCCCCTAAATCTTCCTTTTAAAGCAGTACTAAATCCCACTCTCCTCCAGCTAGCAGGGACTAGGTACCTCTCCAGCCTCTGAGCCAAAGGGTTATCCCTAGACCCCAGCCCCTGTTTTGTCTAGGGGAGGGCAGCATATAGGCGGGGATCTGCACCTAACAGATACCAGCTCAGCAGCAACCTTTACGGTTAATTCAGAAAGCAGCTGTGGAACCAGACTGCCCAAGGCTACAGACTTCCCTTAACAGCCAGATATAAATAATTGATCGGGGGGGGAATCAGAAGGGCTCGGCGTTTGCTGCCCAGCAGCCTGCCCTGGAGCTAGTTCAAGCTGGCAGAGGGGATGGAAATGGGCCCAGAGAGCAGTTTGCAGGCTTGGCACAACTCCCTCTGCCCTCTGCAGATGCCATTAAGCGAGTCAACGTCTTCAAAGAAAATCCCTCCAGAAAATACCTGCTCAGCAAAGGGCTCTGGTAAAGGGACCCGCCTCCCTGAAGACAGATGGGATAAAGATCTTCTTATCCCTCTCGCCCATATGGTTAGATGCCCGGCCCGTATAATACTGTCACCTGGCAAGAAATGCTCTCCTATTTCATATAAAAGAGGATTTTTTTTCTCCTAAAAAAGACCAGCCCTTAAGGCTAGCTGTCTGTTAAGGGCAAACCAGCAAGAACAACCAGCCCGCAGGACGCCCTGCAGGCAACTCCAAAGCCCCCAGCCCTGCAACGCCAAGGGGATGATACTAAGCTTTACAAAGAATGAAAAGAACATTAAAACCCTGTGCATCCTCTCTGAAATGCTCAATGAATTTGCAAAGTGGATGGGCCCCCCCAGACCCTCGCTGGTGCTGGGAGTGAGCAAGACTGCCTACCTAAATCCCTGCAAGTCTGGCCAGCCCCAAGTCTGCAGCCCCAGACATGAGATCTCGACAGCAAACCGCACTGGCAACGTCTAGACCTTGCCGTTCTTCAGGGAAGGAAAACAAAAGAGAGAGACACGAGAAGAATTTGCCAAACCAGCAGAATAGCTGACATTTCAAAACCCCAGATCACTTACTCAGAACAGCCAAGTCATCTTTAAGCTCCTTTCTTTTATCCCCTCGCTCAATTTCCATGCCGGTGGATTCACCCCAAGCCTGTTTGCTGGGGCTGAGGGGGTAGGAACAGAGGCAAAAATCCCCCTGACCACATTACCAGGCTTGCTACATGCACTTGCATCCCCTGCAGGGATGCACACCACCCTCTGCAAGGGCTGACCCATGTTACCCACATTTTCAATACAGAGGAATGGAGGAAAGGGGAGGTTTGCTCTGCAGAGCAAGACTCTAGATTTTATCACAGCTCTCTACACAACAGGCTATGTTGTCCCAAAAACATAGCAACAAACATGTGAGCCTATATAGGGGGTGGGAAAAAGTGCGTGCATGCATAAGAGAGACATCAGAGGTATTTTTTGTTATTATCAGTTAGCAAGGAGATGGCTCATGAATGACCAAAAAAACCCCATACACCAGAAGGACTATAATTTGCCCATTGTTTTAGACTGGCCTCCCTCCTGAAACGGCACCAAGCTCGGCAAATCAGTGTCTCGAGCAACCCACACTCTGGCTGGGCTTTTCAGATAATCCCAGGTTAAAATTAAAGCCGGAGGTTTGATTTTTTTCCCTAACCCTCTCCTCCGCGGGGTCCCAGTAGCACTCTTTGTCGCTCAGCCCTTGGGAACAATAATTCAGCCGATGTGCCGGAGGGGAGCCGGGCAAGTCCCAGCCTGGAGAGGGCTCTGACTCACAGGGTTTCCCTGGTAACCCGAAACAATGGGAAAACACCAAGTACCTCTGCATCCTTAACCGAATCATGGACAATATCCCACAAAAACCCCAGCAAACCAGTTGACACCAGGGCCAGGATTAACTGAGCCCATAGCTTGGCTTGTCTCCTCCGAGCGGAGCCAGCCCCAGCCTTGAGAGCATCAGGGGTGAGCAGTGGAAAGTCCGGAGGAGAAAACCAAGGAGCCCAACTGAATGACAAGAGGCTGAAAAGCAAAGCAGGACACAAAACATTTCCTCTCCTCTTCCCCTCACGGGGTGCTGGATCCCCTCCTGGTTCCCAGCCCTTCCCCCACCCTTCAGCCCTCGCACACAGCAGTCACTGTGGCTCAGGGACGCTAATTTTGCTTCAATAGCATCGCAATCCCTGCCACAGGCAGCAAGCAAGACAGGGGAACAGCTTCCCCCAGCTGCCACATCACCAAATATTCATCCCAAGAGCCCAGTGTCAGGGAGGGAGCCAGGTTTTGCTAGGGTGGACACAGTGATGTTCGGCTCGGAGTTATGAGATACGCTCAGATGCGCCTTCTCCAGCGTGCACAGCAAGCGATGGCAAAGGATGCGTTTCCCACTCACTTCAACCTGACCCAAAATCCTCATGTAGCCTCCGAGCCAAGAAGGGAACAGCAGGCTGGGAGCTAGCAGGGAAGGCAGCCGTGGGAAGCTAGCCGGGGAAGCTCTTAGGTGCACAAAAGGAGCAGTCATCCTCATGTCTGCTTCCCAGGATGGACACAGCGCCGTTTGATGAAAAGCCTGGCAACCACATTTCTGGCAATGAAATAAGGTTGTGGGTTTTTTTAAAAAAAAAGTTCTCCGTGACAAATCATTTATCACTGAGCTTCAGCGGACACCAGGTTCCTAATAAAAGGGTTTCTGTCTCAGGGAGACCCCCAAGACCCTACCTACATCAGTGCTGTGTTAACCCGAGCCTGTGCAGCACCAGGAAGGGGTACGTGTCCCACCTCCCCCTCAGCACCCAACGGGGACCCAGAAAGGCCAGGAAAGTTTTTGATGAACTTCCAAGCTCATTGCCCCTTTCCTTGGGACATATCTTGACAGGAAAACTCCTGGAGGCTTTCTCAGCTGGCTCCCATGCAGCATCTCCCCAGCGTACTCCAGCCGGAGCTCCCAGCTCATTAAGTCCTTTCCTCGTTAGAGGGCTGGCCAAGCCTCTCCTCCTTCCCCTTGCCTCCAACTAATGGGATTAATGTTCATCTGTGTGGTCCCAGCACGCTCCTCCCCGCCAACCCCCGGCACCCTCCTCTCTCTCCCCTCTGCCATCCAGGCCAGAAAGCATTTTTTTTTCTGCTGAATTGGGTATTTTAAGGCAATCTGAGCCGGTAAGGAAACGAGGCGGCGCCAAGGGAAAAGGAGGCGGACGGAGGTCATGGCAAAGCTGGAAAGAAAACACACTAAAAAACAGAAAGAAAGAAGGGGAAGGGGGTGGGGGAAGAATGTATAGAAGGAAATAATACTTGGGGAAGTATTTGTTGCATGCATTATCCTGTTTTTTTCCCCCCTTTTACTGATGCTGCTTTCTTCCCCCCTTTATTTAATTCATTAAAGTCTCCAGTGCCGCCTTTATTTGAATAGACAGCGGTCCTCCCTTCTCCCAGCCCAGCATCCCACGCATTCACTCCCTGAAAAGTCCTGCCTGCGGGGTATAAACCATGAAATGCGCCTGAAAACCAACCTTTTGATTAGAGCTGACAATCCCCAGACGCTCAAACCCTCCGTCCCCCTGGATCGGAAAGGAAAAATGACATCATCTCCGACCCCCGTAACGTGGGAAGAGCCCCGGGTCAGAACCGGGAACCCTGCGGCTTCTCCCTTGCAGAAGGTTTTAATAAGCAAAGGGGAGAAACTTTCAGAGATTGAATTCAAGCGATGCTGAGAGCATCCTACCACAAGCATCAGGATAACGCACCGGAGAATAAAACGTTGCAATGAAGGCATTTGCTTTTTAAAACCAACATCTTCTCTATTTGGGACTGGCCACGTTATGCTTTGCCTCTAATCCCGCAAATCCTTACCCGTTATGTTGATAATTTCCCCTTCGTTACTGGCCATATGGCTCTGAGCCTGCCTGCCAGGACAGAAATAATGCCCAAACCAACAAACAAGCAAGCAACCAAAAGCAAAAGTGTCTTTATAGCTCGGTTGTTTCTGAGCTGGTTGTGCCTTTTGAACACTTTCCATCACCATGGAAAAGAGTACTTATATGAAAATAAATAAATAGAGGCGAGGATAAAGCATGGAAAACAAAACAAAAACGGGAGAGCGCACGAAAGAGATCTTTGAACATGGACCCTATTTGCAAACATTCAGGTGCCGGCGGAGCAAACCTCCCACAAGATGACTAGCTGCGTAAATATTGATCCTTCCACATCTCTCAGGGCTTGGGGAATATGTACATTTTTATCTTAAAAAGGAAAGAAAAGCAGGGGAGGGAATCAGGACAGGCGGCCCGG